CCCTCTGCTCTCGTCCTTTTGCTTGACTTATTTTATATTCTTTTACTGTACTTGATCATGTTACTTTATTATTCTTCAGCAATTGATCTATGACCTGTAATGCTTTTGGGGCATTGTGTGGACAGGTTTGAGATGGGATAGTGCTTGGGCCCCAGGCAGGACTGGACCCCCCCCCCCCTCAAAGGGTGAGAGGAGCTGTGTGGCCTGCCTGGCTTTACTGGCGATTGTTTTCTTGTTGTGTTTCTTTCTTTTTTTCTCTTTAAAGAAGTGTAGCGGTGGTTAAGTGCAGGCTGGATGTTGGTCTGTCAGGATCTGCCTCTCTGGCCACTGGAGATTACATTTTGTTGTCTGTTCGAACTCATGCTGCAAACTGCGTTGGCAATTTTCTTTTCAAAACTCTGTTCCCCTCTAGACATTGTAGACTGGGTCATAGTGGGATGCTTTCAGTTCAGAACTGCATGTCGTTTGGTGGATTGGAAAGTACTTTTCCTGACCAGGAGTCAAATTGCAAATGTTTTGTTTTGTTTTTTTGTTTTGTTTTGTTTTAATTTGGCTTTTCCTCTTTCTTTATGCCTGGTGTGTGCAAACTGGTGGCATTGGTGGCTCTCAAAAGGCATAAAAAACCCAACATGTTTTCTTTAATGTTAAGTATTAACACTGCTTGTTTTGTTTGTTTTTTAAATTGATGTCTTTAAATGAAGTGACCCACCTCTGGAGTAAGTTTTAAATTAGATTGGGTGGGAATGCAACTGTATGAATTGAGGCAAATCAAAATAACCCTTATAAGCGTTCAAAGCTGCATTTATGTGAATGTTCAGAATCTCCCTACTTGTTTAAAATAGGTCTGTGCTCTTTCTTGTTCCTAAACAATTAACTGAGTGTTTCTCATAACCGCTAATGATTTTATGTCTGTCTGTAATGCAGCCTCCAAGTGTTGCTATTCTAGGTTGTTATGGTGTGCTTCTCCACTGCTTGTACATGCTTCAGGCTGTCCTGGGAATGCTCAGTATGTTTAAGGTCTGGAAAGGAGCTGCATATAGAGACTGAATAGACAAAGAGGGAGTGGGGAGGCTGGAATGACGTACGTTGCCCCCTGGAAAACCTGTAGGCTGTGTTTTTTTGCCATGGGGTCTTGTGCAGCTGCAGATCCTAGGGTCGGCATTACTGTGGAACTGCAGTACCTGCTTACAAGTGGTATTAATTTCTCATTGACATTTGGGAATCTGCCAAGTTTGGGAGAAGCCCCAGGACTTCTTAAAGGCTGAATCAAGAAGCTGTCCACAGATGTACTTTAATGGAGATTTTTGCCTTGTGCATCTGCCCCTGGATGTTCTTCTGTTGGGGGTTACCTGGTCAAAAGCAGTCAGGGTCCCAGACTGAAGGAAAAGTTGATGTTCCTTGGGGTAGGAAGCAGGAATGCTGGACATCGTGGGTTCAGCTTGACTAGGATTAAAAGTATGTTAATCACCACACCTTAATTCTAATAAGAGATGAGCTCTGTGATGATAGTACAACTTGTACTTCTTACGTGAGTTTTGAAACATGAGGTTTTTAAATAGGCTTATGCTTTTTTGTTTGTAAAACTTTGCTGCATGTGTTATGACCACTAATGAGATACTTTCAGGTACCTGAAATATTGTCTACATGAATGTTACGCTAATCATTTTAAATTAACGCAAAAACTCTACAAGTTGGAAAGTAAGCATGAGTGAAGTAAAGACTTTGATTGCAGGGTTGACACTCCCTTGCTATTTCCCATATGTCATACTTTAAAATGTTACTGTATAAAGACATGTCTTTGTCAGGAGAATTGGAGCGCTGCACATATGGCATGTTAAGCTTATGCTGGGTTTAACTTTTTTGTTGTCTCTAGTTTACCTGCTTACTTTTCAATCCTGAACATTTATTTATTTGGGTGCATGTGTATTTCCTTACAGTAAGGAGAGTAGGCAAAAGCAGGCAACCATATTTACATGTAACTAAAGGTTTTAAAGTCTCTAAAGAAATGTCCCTAGATTGCATTCAGCCCAGCTTTCTCTAGGAACCTGAGTGAATATACTGACTTATGCCATAACTTCTTACTAATATTCAAGTCTTTCTCCTCCAATATGGATAGCTGCTGCTTTCTTTAAGGCATAAAATAGCTATGGACATTTTACAAGTCAATTTAAAATGTTTTTTACTTTGAGCTTACATATTCAGCCTAAAATAATTATTTTTGTTAAAATTATTAACACATGAAAGGATATAGACTGAAATGCAACAGCTCAGACTGAATTCATAATTATTTAATAGTATAGGTCATGTTCTGAGCTACTATGGCAGGGTTGCCCCTTTTAACTTAGGCCAGATTTTCTGAGCATAGTTAAGTGCTTTAGAAAAATGCCTCTGTATCTAAACACCTCTTAAAAATCTGTCCCTGGGTCTGCTCCACTCTCAGAAGCATATACTGTCACTTTTAGACCAGATCAAAGACACTGATGGGAAATGAAGGCTTTCATGTACAGCACAAGAAAAAGATGGTGTTTCCATTCTTCTCTGTGTATCTCAAGATAGTGTTTGTAAGTAGTTTATGCCTGACACTTTCATGATTGAAATAGATAATGTGAAAAGTTGGTTAGCTTTATTGACTAGTTTCATTTTGTGACACCTAACCTTCTGAATCTGCAAGATTCCTTCATCAGTTCTGGAGAGTTTTTAACAATTTCAGGATTACTTGGGTTTGCTAAGGGGGGGAAAAACAAAAGTGGGGGAGGAAGTCTTTTAAAAATCTGTCGTACTTCAACATAATTGCAATTAGTACAGTCATTTTCAGTGATAGTAGTATGTAACTCTGAAAAAGCTTAAAGCAATTTCAACCAGGTAGTCTGCTGGAGTAGTGCCAGATTGTTTTGAAGGGCTACTTGTAGTGTGAGCAGATAAGCTGAGGCTCGGGTTGTCCTTGCCTGGCCAATCCTCCACCCTTTCTACATGGCCCCTCTGCAAGGAGGTAATGATATATATACATTTAGGTCTTTTAAACTGGGTGCTATTCAAGTCACAAAGTTATGGAGGGGTGCTGCAAGGCCAGTCCAAAAAAGCTGAGAACTACTGGTTTAAAAAAATAACAGTACTTCTCTTCTGGTTTTGTTTCATACTGTTATTAAAATACCATTTATGTCATAAGACCTTTGGGTCTGTTGTATATAATTATAAAAAATAGAAGTGAATGCAGACTTTTTTTTTTTTTAAATAAAAAATGTGAATTTTTTAAACCTTGGTGAACTGTTTTGCCCTCAGCTATGAATTACAAATTGTACATTGTACACATTCCTAGTGATGCTTAGGTATGTTCATCACCTTTTCCATCAAGTTACAATGCACCTCCACTAAAAGTAACAGCTGCTTATCTCATCTGCTGGCCTACACCAATTTGTTGGGGATGTGCATGGGTATGGGGGGAGGATGTAGTATTAGGCAACTTATTCAGGACTGAGGCTCTATCTTCTTGGAAACTTTCTTCCATCTGATATTGAAAATGTAATTGTGTTATGTAATTGATTCTTAAGAAGAAATACAAAACTTCAAAACAACAATAACTTGATAGATCCATCAACTAATGACCTAGAATAGTGGTGGCCACCCTGTGGTATGTTTGCTACAGTTGGCAAGGGAAGCTTCTGTGTGGCACATGGTAGACTGGGGAGGAAGTAGGGAGCAGAAAGCAGATCAACAGATTGGGCAAAGAGGATCAGAGTGGCACTCAGGCAAAGCACAGGACTTAAGTTGTGGCATGCCTGCCAAAAAGGATTGGCTGGCACTCTAGAATGAGCTATTTCACTTTTAGCCTTTGAAAAAGTGGATACTTAATGGTTTATTTTTTAACACACTACTTTGGGCAGTGATTAGTATCTTTTAAAAAAAAGTTTCAAACTGTGTTATTGTATGTCTTCAGTAATTGTACAGATTAATTCAAGAATCTGAAGATCAAGAATACAATATTTTTTTTCTCATCTGTAAATAAAAACCAAATCAGTTATGTTTAGGTGGGTTGTCCCTGGCTACTTTTATATTCAAACATCTTTCCCTACTTGCCGCAGCAAATGGATACTTTGTAGCAAATCCACACAATTTGTAATCTTCAGTCTCCTACTCTTTCAGAAGCTGGTATTAAGTGCCTCCTATGTCAGAGATGCTTCCAAGTC